ACTCTGCATGTGTACACATACATCTGCTAAAAGAGTGTGGCCACCTGGGGGTACTCATGCAGAGGTTTGTAATTCTGTGTGGTCCCCGAGAATGTCCCTGGCTTTGAACACATTGAAGATTCCCTAACATCCACTCTGAAGCCTTCTGGTGAAACAGTGACTGGAAGAGCTGATGGAATAGTACTCTCTTACATCATTTCGTCAAGCACTTATTGAGCTTTTGCTTTGTGTAGATACCACTGGGCTGTACAGTTATCTGTGTGATACACTCAAATTAGTGCATAAATGAGTGAATGATGCTATCTTTGGCCTCATGTATTCACTTATTGAGCACTTGTTGTGTACTAGGCACAAAATATTCTAGATGTACAATGCAGAACAATGCAGCAATCATCCTTGCTCCTATAGAGCATATTTATTAGTGACAAAGGCATTGCAGCAAATAAATACATAAATATGCAACTACAACTTGGGCTAGTTCATGAAAAATAACAACTGCTATGCTAGTCCCGGAAGGTGGGATCAGTTTAGATTGTGTGCTCTGGGAAAAACTTTGAGAATTAAAGGATGAGAAGGAGTTAACCAGATCAGAATTGGAGCATGGAGGAGATAGGATTGTGAGCATTGTAAGTGGGGAAGTCAGAAGTTCTAAAGTTCTTGGGTTGGGAATTGGAGGGCTGGGAGTGATTGGCTTCCTTGAGGTGCTGAAGCAAGGCCATCGTGGCTGGAATACAGAGGGAGGAGTAGAGTTGCATAAGATGAAGTGGGGAAGTTGGCAAGGCTTCCGGGTTTTGCAGATGTACAAATGATACAGGTTCTAAAATCTTTAAGTTGCATCACTCTTAATTTAGAGGAAAAATGGAGATTGATTTGTGGCTTGGAAAGATGAAAAACTATTAGTGGAATTAGGACATGACTGGTTTTATCTATACCATATGGAAGTTGATGTTGTGTTGTGGAAAGATTGTGGGCTTTTGAGCTAGAACTAAGTTGATTGCAGCTGGTTCTTAATGATGTGTGGCTTTGGATAAGTTACTAAGCCTCTTGAGCCTCTATTCCTTCATTTTTAGGATGGAGATAGTAGAATCCCTTATTGTAAGAATAAAATTAAATAAAACATGTAAAGTACAAAGTAGAGGGCCTGCCTCATCACAGTGGTCAGTAAACATGCTGCTGTCACTACTGTTAATCTTCTTTCTTGAGGCAGAGGGAAAGACAACTGCCATATTGTCTATAAAATATGAGCTAAGCAAACGTGATGGACCCTTCTAAAGCATGCACAAACTGACAGGCCTGTAGTGACTTTAGACTATTTCAAGTACAGTAGTCTTCTGTGACATGGTGGAAATCTTTTTTTTGGTACCAGGAATCAAACTCAGAACCTTACACTTGTGAGGCAGACGGTGGAACCACTGAGCTAAATCCCCGGCCCGATGGTGGAAATCTTTCTGTCCATTCCAGTGGTGAAAAAGCAGATTTTCTTATTATAAACATGAACCAACTGAGATAATTCATACTTTTGGGAAACTGTCTTTACATTTCAAAGAAAAGAAGGCTAAATTTACTAGGAAAAGCTGTAATCTAGACATTCCTCATTTAACAACCGAGTTCCTTGTCAAATTCCTGGTCACTAAATGAAGAATTGTGTATAGCATGTACATTACAATATTCAGTACAAAGAAATAAAGGAAACTCCAAACTGATGATTTGCTTTTATTTGCACAACTCTTACATGCAGTATTGTAATATATAGCATAGCATAAAACTATAGTATTGTAGTATACAGTGAATCAGCAAAGATTACAGTACTGTATAAACAAAGTACACTGTACAAAGAAAAGACATTGATGCTCAATAAACAAGATATACAGAACTGTACAAAAAAAAAAGATGGGTCATAAGTCCGAGCAGTGGGTCATTTAACAGTTAGTTGTTAAATAGGTGGTTAAACGAGCAATGTCTGTAATGTAGAATACTTTAGCCTTTTCAGAAAGTATCATGCAATTATAGTAAAATAAAGACTTCCTGAAAATGCTAACATACAATTGTTTTAGTATGGTTTCCTTTATTGTGCGTACAATTCTATAGTTAAATTTAGCACAAGAAAGATAAATCATTTGGGATAAACTGTGGCTCACTCTGTTATGAATATGGAAATACAGTAAAAGCCTGACATAACAAAAAATGGGATCCAAAGTTTTTCATCATATTATGGGAAGATAATGAAATAGCTCCTACCCAAGTGATTGGGAGTTCTGAATGTGTAGAGGCCAATTGCCAATTGTGTTCAAGTTATTTGGGGGATGTGTTTGAATGCTAATGGCATGTCAAAGAATTTTGATAATGGTAGTGAAGTTCTTTAGGGGAAGAGAAAATAACTTCAGAAAGCATATTTTGGCTTTTGATTTAAATATTAATTTGTAGAAAAATTCAATATGCTATGGCTAAACTTTTTTGATTATGGTCCTTGAGAAGAGATACAGTTTACTTTGTGAGAAGCACTGCATGGTTCTCGTCCCTTCTTTCCTGCTCATAGGGAATTTAAACTTTCTTGAAACAATGTACCATTCCAGTATTTTCTGTTAAATTCTATTTCAGTTTTTAGAAAATGCCTTAGCTCACTAATTTTATGACCTACTAATGGGTTGTAACTTGCACTTCGAAAAATACTGCAAAAATGAGTATGTATTACGTGGAGCTTCAGAAAAGAATTCCAGGTTATTCTAGAAGCATAAGATAAGCACTTTACCACGAGTGTATCCAATATCATTAATAATAGATAATTAATAGGTGTTCACCTTATATCATTTGACTGCCTGGGATAGTCTTTTAAAGAGCGTGCGTGTCCCCACACACGCACACACACAAAGACAGAGTTGTTTACTTGCATAGACATAAACTCTCACCAGAAACATACAGAAGAAATTAGTAAAAACATGGATTCTCTGCGAGAAAGAGAACTGGGTACCTGTAGGCAGAGGAGGGGTAAGATATTTTAAGTACAATATACCCTTTTATTTTCATTCTTTTAAAATTTGAAACATGGAAACATGCTTATTCCAGTGATTAAACTTAAAAATAATAAATTCCACATCTACATTATTAGAGAAAAATGGGGGGAGGTGCTCCAGGATCAGGGTTTAGTAGTGAAGAGGTTGTCACAAGTGGCAGTGCATGCAGGCATGGGGAGTGAGAGCCTGCATGCTGTTTACCACCCTGATCCATACCAGCTGTGTTGACAGTGTGATAAAAGGATCCTCATTCAAAGGATTAATTTATGTTCCATGCTCTTGTTTTTTTGTTTTGTGGTAGGGTCTCGCTATGTAGTTCAGGCTGGCCTCAAACTCATGGCATTCCTCCTGCCTCAGCCTTCTGAGTGCTAGGATTACAGGTGTGTGTCACCATGCCTAGCTCTATTATGAAGGAATAGTACTATATTCTGAAAGTCTTTTTAGTAGAACATGATTAAAGTTTCATTGCTTAAAGTATTTTAAACTTCCTACTTAGAAATAATTTCAATCTAACAAAATTTGTGTGAATAAGAAAAATACAAATAATACACAGATTCATCTTTTATTAATATTTCCTCTCCTGCCCTGTTTATACATCCAATTTGTTTTTTCTGAATCATTTGAGATAAACTTGCAAATACCACACTTCTTTCTAACTATTTCAGAATATATGTTCTAAGATTAGGGATGGTCTTTTACTTAACTACATACAGTAATCAGCTGTTGGGAATGTATTACAAGTAACCTAATTTAATCTATTACCTGTTTTCCATTTTTGTCAGTTGACTCCAGAAATGTCCTTTGTAGTATTTCATCCCCCTCTTTAGCATAGGCTCCAGACTAGGGTTGTTTACTTCTCATAGCTCTTTAGAGTCCTTTGATTAGAAATATTTCTATGATATTTGTTCAGTTTTTTACAATATTAAGATTTTTTTTTTGGTACCAGGGATTGAACTCGGGTCCTTGTGCTTGCGAGGCAAGCAGCAGAACCACTAAGCCAAATCCCCAGCCCTAATGTTAAGATTTTTAATGAATATACGTCCTTCATTTAAAAAACTAGAACATTGGCCATTCTAATGTTTCTTTATGATTAGATTCGGGTTATGTATTCTAAGCCAGAATACTACATAGGTGATATGTCTTTCTTAGGGTGTCACATCTGGAGGCACAGTATGTCCACCTCCCTGAATTAGTGGTGCTAGTATGCTTGGTCAAATGTGTTTTCTTGTTTCCACTGTATAATATTTTCCTGTTGCAACCTAATAATCCATTGGAAGAGATGTTAAAACCATGTAAATATACTGATGCTCATCAAAATTCCCTCTGTATGTAGCATTCATAATTGCACGTGCTTGATCTAATTTTTACTGTGTTGGTTATAAAATGGTGACTTTTCCACTGCTAGCACTACTTCCTCATTTCCTAGCTTATGTTCAGCATTCTGCTGTAAGCAACAGTTCTCCCTCCTCTCCCTTTTATTTTATTTGTTGTTGTTAAATTCTTGCTTATTCCCTCAATGGTTCATAATTTATTACTGGAGTCAGTGACCACTCTGAAATTGTATGCAAAGCTCTGTGTTACTTGGGCATCTTTCTGGAGAGATAGTGTTTATAACTTTGATCAGACTCTAAATGGTTTTTGACTCAGGTGTATTAATTTCTACTACCTTTTGTGAAGAGTTAAGACTTTAAGCTAGCTCTAATATTTATATGTTTGTATATGTTCCCCCCTGCTTTCTTCTACAAGTGAAATGTTAGAACCATAATGTATCCCCTTCTGTTGTATATTCCATTATTTTTGTCTGCTGTTTTTAAACTACAGCTTAAAATGGTATTCTGTTTTGGTTCTTTTAAATTTTTTCTGGAATATAAATGTTAGTATCTTTATTGGCAATGTAGCAGCAGTTTACGGTGTATAGAGCGAGTCTTGTGAAGCAATGAATTACCTTGATTTAATTTGAAATTTTAAAACCAATTTTTTACACTGTAGTTTTATTAGCTCTCTGGGAGTGAGCTACATGATGTTGTGCAGTGAAAATTACCCAAATGTTCTCGCCTTCTCTTTCCTGGATGAGCTTCAGAAGGAGTTCATTACTACTTATAATATGATGAAGACAAATACTGCTGTCAGACCATACTGTTTCATTGAATTTGGTAAGGGCCTAATTTTTTTCCTTTTTATTATCTTATCTCTATCCATTCATAAACGATTTTTTACCTAATATTAGGGGTCAGGCGAAAACCTCTGCTGCTTTGCTTTATATAGAATAATTTGGCAAATGCTCTATAAGTTATAGCAACTTCTTAATTTAGGTGTCTATTAGAAAAAAAATTTTGAGCAGTGAAGGGATTTGTGATTATTGGCCCAAAGAATTAGTCTCAAAGGACAATTTCTCAATGAGAAATTTATAAGGTAGAGATTCAGAGTTTTGTATTTATGTGATAATCATTTATGGCTTGCTTAATGTAGAACAGTGGTTGGAAAATATTTGCTGGAAAGGACCAGACAACATATTTTAGACTTTAAGGGCCCTACTGTCTGCCCCAACTACCCAGCTCTGCCATTGTCGCTTGAAAGCAGCCACAGGCAATACATAAATGAATGAGCATAGTTATGGCCTAATAAAACTTATTTATAAAAACAGCAGGCTAGGTTTGGCCTGTGGGCAGTCATTCGCTCAACTGTTTATGTAGAAGGGGGGGAGGGAGAAAAAACCCTGAAGTTATAAATAGTAAAATAAAATGCCACTTGGAAGATGTTTAGGAAATATTATTTGTTCTTTTTATCAAATTTATTCTTGAAAACATACATCCTAATGGTGTAAGCAGTAGATTAGAAAACAGATTTAGAAAAACATAGTTTATTGTATATGCTCTTATGTAATTACAACTAGTAAATCTAACAGGTTCAATATTTTGAGACAAGAACTCCCATAAAAATTAAGACTTTGGTTTAAAGTTAAGCTGTTTTTTGTCTCTGTAATTCCTTAAAGTGGATGTAATACACCCAGGTAGTGTTAAACTTGTAGTTCAGTTATAGTTACTAATTTCTAGAGTATAGAATGTAAAACTGATGTCTCCATGATTATGCATAAACACAAATAATATTAGAAATTCCATGGCAAATGAATAGTTTTTAATAACAAATTAAACTATTTATCCATAAAATTTATTGTCCATAAACATCACACTCTCAAATGATTTAATTAACAAATGACTACAGGAGATTTATTTTTTATTTTACATAGATAACTTCATTCAGAGGACCAAGCAACGATATAATAATCCCAGGTCTCTTTCAACAAAGATAAATCTGTCTGACATGCAGGTGGAAATCAACCTGAGGCCCCCTTATCAAATTCCTATGTGTGAACTGGGGCCAGCCAATGGAGTAACATCTGCATTTTCTGTTGATTATAAAGGTGCTGGTAAGATTTCTTCTGGTGAGTTCTGGATCTCAATTCATTAAATTTTTTGCTTTTGTAAGAACTGAGGAACTCTTGAAAGTAAATTTTTATTGATATATTAGATCAAGAACATGAATAGAAGTTCGAAGCCATCCTTTCTCCCAGTTGTTTATAAACTAAGCTACTAGATATGTGACTAATCAGGAAAATATTTTCTTTTTTTCTTCTGGTACCAATGATTGAACTCAGGACCTTGTACTTGCAAGGGAGGCGTGGTGCCACTGAGCCAAATCCCCGGCCAGGAAAATACTTTTAAATGGTAATCTCAGAGGTTCTCTTTACTAAGAAAACATTTATGGTGTCTTTGAAAACACTTATCTAGAAATGAAAAATAGTTTTTTTGTAATATATATTTGTAGACTTGTAAAGTGCTTTGCATTATGTCAGACTGGCTGCATTCAAGCCCCAGGATGCTTGACTGTCATAGAAAATGTAAAAACCTTAGTGATGGTCTACTGAAATTTCCCCTCCCAAAGAAGAACACCATCCAGTCATAACAGGGTGAAACTTCTGCTATGGAAACCTCATCCAGGCATGGTGGTATATGCCTGTAGTCCTAGCCACTTAGGAGACTGAGGCAGGAGGATCTCAAGTTAGAGGCCAGCCTGGGCAATTTAGTGAGACACTGTCTCAAAATAAAAAATAAAAAGGGCTGGGGATATAGCTCAGTAGTAGTGTACCTCTGGGTTCAATCCTCACAGTACTGTACATCCCACCTCTCCAGAAAAGGAAAACTCACTGTTTTATAAAGTAGCATATGCCACTTTTAAAATACTCACTAAAATTCTTCTTTCTGTTTTAAGCTAGTTTGCTTCCTTGTAATGCCTCCCAGTCTAATGTACTTTATTTAAATATCTCCAGTTCCCTTAGACTTTTTGTTTTTTTGTTTTTTTTGGTTTTTTTGGTACCGGGGATAGAACTTGGGTCCTTGGGCTTGTGTGGCAGGCGGCGAAACCACTGAGCTAAATCCTCGGCCCTCCCTTAGACTTTTTGTCAGTGGCTTGAAGTCTTCCTCATCCTAGTAGCTTCATGTATATATTTATTAATTTTTTAGTTTTCTTTAACTATGGACTGACTGTAACACTTCATGTTTGGTTTGATTAATACAGCTATGGGAGAGGGGAAAACAAATTTCACTAAAATAATCTAGCCACTCACTAAACAAGTAAATAAGTGTAAGAGATAAAAAGGCATCTAGATTGCAAAGGAAGAAATGAAATAATTATATTTACATATTATGTAATCTCATATGTAAAATCCTGAGGAATCTGGTTTAAAAAGACTTGAATAAATGAGTTTAGCAAGGTTTCAGGATGCAAGATCAATATACAAGAAAAAAATCAGTTATATTCTATACACTAGCAGTGAACAATCTAAAAGTGAGTTTAAAAAAATCTTATACAATGAAAAGTATAAAACATCGTTGGAAGAAATTAAAGAAGATCTAAATTAATGGATGGCAGTTTCACCTTCCTGGATTAGAAGACAGTATTGTTAAGATAGCTTTTCTCCTCAAATTGATATACACACATTCAACAAAATCCCACCTGTGTGTTTTTTTTTATAGAAATTGACAATCTGGTCCTAAAATTCATATGGAAATTCAAGTGGCAGAGAATAGCCAAAATAATCTTGGAAAAGAACAAAGTTGAAGGACTCACACTTCGAAATTTACTACCAATCTACAGTAATCAAGCCTGTGTGATTCTGGTTTAAGGATAGACATGTATGTAGATCATTGAGATAGGAGAGTATAGAAGTAAACCTTTTAATTATGGTTAATTTTTTGGGGGGTACCGGGGATCAAACTCAGGACCTTGCGCTTGTGATGCAGGTGGCAGCACCACTGAACTAAATCCCGGGCCCCACATTATGGTTAATTTTTAACACTGATACACAGACAATAGTGAAAGAAGACTCTTTTGAACAAATGGTGTTGGAATACCTGGATATCCACATGCAAAAGAATTGAACTTGAACCTCCCCCCTTACAACATATATAAAAGTTAACTCAAACTAGAACAAAGTCCTAAAACAGCAAGTAGAACTATAAAACTGTTAGAAAAACATAGGCCTACATCTTTGTGACTTTATATTAGGGTTTTTAGATTTTTAGTGAAAGAAAAAAGATAAAGTAGACTTCATCAAAATTAAAAACTTATTCTTCAAACACCACAATCAAGAAATTGAAAAAAAGAAATTGAAAAGACAGTCCACAGAATGGAAAAAAAAAACTTATAAAACATCTGATAAGGGGCTAGAATCTAAAATATATAAGCATCTTACAACTCAACAATAAATGTCCATTTTATAAATGAGGAAAGGATTTGAATAGGCATCAACACAGAAAATGTACATCTAGCTAATTATCATATAAAAAGATGCTCAGTATCAATAATCATTAGAGAAATACAAAGCAAAACTGTAAGAATACAGTATATTATTTCATATCTACCAGCAGGGCTAAAATAAGAGCCATTGGATCCATAAGTCCTAAGGGCTGATGAGCAAAGTACCCTATAATGCAATCTGGATCCTTGTGTTTCTCTGGGGCCTTTTTAACCATTGTCATGCAGTAAGCCATGGAATGTTGCCTTTGAAATCTAGAAAGGCATATTAATCAATGTATCTTTTCTTAGTGGTATGGGCTGCAAGGTGCATCAACTTGGTCCTTAACTTTCATATATATTCTGATCTTTGACCATCAGAAACTGATTGAAGGAATAGGCTCCGTAAGTTTGTGATTATTTCCCGTTGTCTGGCATGCATGTATTTTCTCAAGGGATATAACCTAAGGCACATACTACTATATATTCCTCAGGTACTGACAGCACGACATTGCCAGTAACGTTCTGTGGGGTGCTAAGAACTTAGATCTTTATAGCCAAGGGTCAATAAACTTTTTTTTTAATAAAAGGACTGATAGCAAATATATTCGATTTTGACGCTATATGGCCACTGTTGCAACTCTGTGTGCATAATACACAAAAATAGCCATAGACAGTAGTTAAAAAAGAATAGGTGGACTCAATCTGGCTTTTGGGCCATTGTTTGCCAACTGCTTAAGACTAATCTCTGGCATAATATGTTAAATGTACTGGTATCTGTCACATAAAAGCAAAAAGTTTTCTGATTTCCACTGTTTCTTAGGATATAGAAAAAAGTTTACCATAATGATGTCAGGAAATGAATTGTTTTACACTGTAAGGAAACTGTATCTGGAAAAACATGTACAATTGGAACGTTTAGTAATCTGTCATCCTTCAAGACACGCCCAATTTGGTGACTTAAATTGGAGAGTTAATTGAAAATATGATAGACATCACCACCTATGCATTTTGAAAGCCTTGGATAGTGGCACTGGTTTCTGCAGTCATCTTGGGGGTTAGTATTTTGTTGATGTTTCGGTTGAAGGAGCCCAAGACTTCTTTCTGTTGGCTTGCTCTTCTTTAGTAGATAGTCTGGCAGCCAGTGTTGCTAAGGATATCTGTCCATTAATTAATAGACTGTGGATTCAGAAGGATAACCTTAATTTGAGGTAAGGGTCCAACTTGACCTACCATGAAATGGACTTTGTTAGAGATTGTTAATCAGTTGACTTCTGTAAGTTTCTTCTCTGACCTTAGACCACCATGGTATACTGGATCATCGAATACCAGAGACTTGGAAAATGGGGAGAATCTGGGATTTGTTATAGTTTTAAGAAAGAATAAAAAGTAATTGACAACTAGAACTTTTTTTTTTTGGTACCGGGGATCAAACTTGGGACCTTGCGCTTGCGAGGCAGATGCCGGAACCACTGAGCTAAATCCCTGGACCAACTAGAACTTATTTTGATACTAACTTTAAATTTGCTTTCAATTCAGACCAAGCCTACATAATATTTTCTATAGTTCCCAAGTAAAATATAGTTTTGAGAGGGAACTTCTAAATACATTATTGACTTTGTTTTGAAATAAGTTTAATGGATACTTGATGAGCATTGCTTTTCAAGCTTCTTTGTCCTCATGATTAATTTTTTTTTATTTCTTGACTTTTTTCTTTCTAACCTTTTGGCAATCTTCCCAGTCTGGCATAAATATTTTTATCATGGCATACTTATTATTTACAGAAGTCTACGGAAGTTCATCATGGCGTCAGTAATATATTAAATGAAGTACCATGTCCCACTTCTGCTTTTTGGTTTTCTCTTTAAAATGTTTTATTATGGAGAATCTCAAATGTATACAAGGTACACACAATAGTATAATTAACTCTCATGTACCCATTATATAACTGTAACAACATTTTGCCTCTTTTTTTCATCTGTACATCTCTATTATCCACTTGATAATTAATTTATATAGTTCTTTCTTTTTAAAGGGAAATTTATAGTCTTTGTTATACAAATCTGGTTTTTAAATATGTTTCATCCTTATTCAGGTGTCGTGAGGTCAACAGATCAGATGACTACCACAGAAAAGAGAATTTTTTATGTTCATAGATCTCTAGGGAAAGGAAAGGGGAGAATGTGGACAAAACCTCTATTGTGGTTTCTGAGGGAAGGAATGGATGAGATAGGATGAGGAGGCTTGAGATTGGCTAGTTTGATTGACTAGTTTCAGTGGCTTTGAGGCATAGGGCTTTTGGAACTTCAGTGGCTCTAGGGAATTCCCAGTTGTGTGATGCTTGGTCATGAGGTGATACAGGGAGGGAAATAGTGGTACTGAGTGTAGGTCCCTGGTAGAGGAGGTGGTTGAGAGTGTGAGGTATGAACTGGTTGTTTGTGTGTAAAAGACTCAGGCAAATTGCATAACCTAGCCCTGGAAGGGTCAGCCTGTCCAAGATGTCAAAGCATCAGAAATAAAGAATAAAAAGTCATGATTACTACTCACCCTTTGACAATATAGAACATGTCCATTTCCCTGAAAAGTTCTTTATGTCCCCTCCCAGTCTCCACCTTTCTCTGGACATTCACTGTTTTGATTTTCACTTTA